ACAGCTTAGTAAAAGCTTCCAGAAGAGCTATGATGTGCGTATATAAATTCTATGACACCCACGAAGAACTAGCCCTTTAACATACACAATGGCTCACAGCATTCTGGAGGCATCCCTGACTGAAAAGAATGTTCTTCGCTAAGAGCTCCAGCGCGGACTCTGAGTCAGCAAATCCGTATGAGGAGTGGACAAACAACCAAATCAACGGTGCCCCTCAATGTAAAACCTAAACCTTAACAACTCTACCTTCCTGTTTGGGGGCATTCGCTACGTCAGCCGCCACCCACACCCGCTCTGCTGCTGCTTAAGGACTCAAAATAAAGTAAAATCAAGTAAGTGAATCCTTGCCTTGTTCGATTCTATACAAATCTAGAATTGCCTCATCAATGCGCCTAGCAGTTTCCTCCCGCTGCTCCATTCCTCCTATAAGCCGCTGCGCTTCCGGGCACTGCAAGCCAGTCAAGCACAAGAAGTACCAATAGCAAGCAGGGCTGCTTCGGAAAACGCTACCAGCTGGTTGTGGAGCACTTCTAGCACCTAATCACCTTGCGGCAAGTATTATGCCGGCAGGCAACAACTTGGCTAAAGCCATCAGTCATTGGCTATTCTTACGCTCAGGTCACTGAATGCCAAGAGCGCCATGGCTTCTTCCAAGTGAGGCAGCAAATGTGGCTGCGCAGAACAAAACAATGGAACTTGAGAGGAAAGAAAGAGTAGCACAAGGTGATCTCGATATGTGGTCCTGCCCCCTTGCAGATGTTCTCTCAGCAGCCAATGCTTCATACATAAACGCACACATTCCTTGACGCAGGGGGCAAGGTGTCGCTGCGCAAAATCGATCGCGTCTCCCAGTTCTCCCTGCAGTAGCGCAAACAGTGAAACGGTGTGAAGCTACTGCAAAGTCACGTAGCGTACGGAATCCCGTCGGAAGCATCTGACTAGGAAATTTTCAAGAGACTGCAAACCAACACGACTTGCCGTTTCTATGAGCTTCAGAAGCTGCTGTTTGTGAAGCAGAAAAGTCACCTCCGCATCCGCACTCAGCAACTGCGCAAAACCTTCCATCAGAACATACAGACACTCATGTTGCAGCTTCACGACGGCACAATAAGTCTACGTAAGAATAATATGCCCAAAATCGGACTATGAAGGTCGGAATAACAGACATTTGGGTCAATGAAGCCTATTTGACGAATGGCCTCGTCTGTACGTCCACTCAAAATTGCCTCTCGAATCTTTGCCCTGCAGTCAATGCAATGCAGTGGCATTTGCGCTGAAGCCACACCATCCACCGCAGCAAAATATGCAAGCTCAGTGCCGGAAACACACATTGCGTCATGTTCACAGCCTATATGTGCGCGACCGCTACCGCGGCAATTGCCGAAAGGATCACAAAGGCATCTCACAGCAATAGTCCATCTGGGCAGAGACACCTCTTCGGGAAAAAAATACGCGCAGTTACACGCGAAAACAAGGACTCTGCTGCATACTGCTCACGCTCAATGCGTGCTTCTTTTACGAATTCCTCCGCAGCTTCTGCCAGGCCGTTGATGGTGAGATAATTTAGGACCAAGTGCTGCAGATCCACCTCGAAGAGCTCTACCTCCCCCAGGTTCCTCATCCAGTCATTTCTACAGGAAAGCACACAGTATCCACGCAAAAGCTCTGTTGTCCCGCGTGGAACTGCTAGTTTCGTCTCGAATATTCAGCATATTCAGCATTACAGGGGTACAGGGGCTTGGCAAAGTGCAGGCATGAGTACGCACATGGAGATGTCTGAGAGCCTGAGGAGAGAGTCACACTCAAAATCTTCGTAAAAACTGCCACTTTGGCCCGTCTGGTTCCTCCCGGACATGGTGCTTGGCTCTGCGAAGGAAGACCAAGAGTAGCCGTTGCACGCGCTGGTGTGCTTGTCCAAGCGAAAGTCCACAAATACAAACTAGGCAAGACGCTTATACAATCGATGAACTCTTCGGAGAAATGGTAGTGTACGATTAATTTCCCCTAGAGCCAAATGAAAAGCGAAGGGGCTGGCGTTCCAGTAGCTATGGTAACAGTACCTGAAGGTTCTTGTACACTTCATACTTCTCCACACTTCGGACTTCTTATTGTAACGGAATATCTTATTAAATAACTAAAATTTGAACTCTATGGTGGTGCGAGAGACAACACAAGCTATTCATGTGCAGCAGCACCATAACATTGAGTCCACGCTGGTAGACCATTGGTGAGGCTTGCACCCTTTTGCCAGTTGGAGACAACTTAATGCCATATAGTGGATTTCAGAGGTTATCAGTGCATTATTGAGCTTTATCTCGAGGTAAATACAATACAACACTACGGGAATCCGATGTATGGCTGATCACCACCACAACAGGAACGTCAGACTGAGGGCCGGCCCTCTTCCGGCATAGGATCCTCTTTTCAGTACTCGTGTTTTATACCACTGGTGCTTTTGCAGCAATTCGTTCCTCTCTTCTTGCACTATTGCTTGTGTCTCCCGACGAAGAGACATCATGTCGGAGAATGCGGTGCTTCAAACTGCAGGAATGACCAAGGATTTTTCCTCAAGCTAGAAAGTGGTTGATAGACTGAGACAATCGTGCAATAAGCGTGCAGCGAGATGGTTTTCTGCAGAAAGGGGACTTTGTCTCTCGGCGCTTTTTTGGAGAAGAAGAGTGCTGGAGATAACTCATCACCATCGATTCATGAGCACTAGACTGTGTGGCCCAGCAGAAATACAAAGGTAAGATGAGGAGAGAGGCTTTCATTTTAATTCGAAACCCCTCACCTGTACTAACAACGGTAAATGCAAAGCAGGGCGTGGTGGCGATGAAATATTTACTCACACGACCTGGGATGTCCGCTTTTTGATTTATACGGGAACTGCTGTGGGGCTAGACTCTCTACTAATGCTCCACAGGACTGTCGAAGCCAATTCATGAGGCACAGCCCGAACTGCTGAAGAAGTGGGAGGGTGTTCGTTGGAAGATATGGAGTACCCGCCGCCGCAACTACTACGGACTCCTCATTAGCGGAGAGGAGAAACGGGGGTGGCAGGCTCAATGGGGCGACGTAAATAGAGGACCCTGGGTTAGCTCCTTTTCTGTGAGCAGCAATATTTGCCAGCACCCGCTTGCTCAAAAGTTCTAGCTAGATTAGACCAAACCGTCACCGTGGTTCCCCATCATCTGGTTAACTTTCTAACCGACAAAAGCATCAGTCTGTCCTTATCTGTGAAGGCGTATGGTGTATCGGCTTAAGAAAACGGCGTTGTAGCTCCGTTGAATATCTTCCACCACCACTTGCAGCAAAGCTGAACCTGCCCATGAACAAGGAGGTGCACACAACCATAAGGCCCACTGAGCTCCCCAACGCACACCTTGTGGTCACTCATCAAAGAGTGAAAGCCTCTTTGTCGAGAATCCATGCCTTCACGGCTAAACCGACACTGGGCAGAACACACAGAGCCCAAAGTGGGCGCCCTGCTGCGGTGTATACCACCACGCACAGCTTCACAGGAGTAAAAAGAATGCTCAGGGTGGTCACAGCTGCCCCATCGCTGAGGAACTCTAGAAAAAGCTACTGTGTATTGCTTTTCCGGCGACTGAACCAGCGAGAGACAGTGCCCAATTCCCTCCATGCGCTGCAGCTTGCAGCAGGACAGTTGGTTCGAAACAGCATGTCAGGTACTACTTACCTAATAGGTGCGTTAAAATGGTGCCACTACTACTACGATTTTCTTTGTGCGCAGCTTTGATTTCCCATAATGTCTGGAATGCCCTCAACTCACGATAGCTACTGGATGGAAACTCACCCGCATGCAGACTGGGGCCAAAAAGTTTGCTAATTATACGACGCTGCGCGTAAGAGCCACCGCGCTTACAAATTAAAAAGAGCGAATTACAGTGACGAATGCCATTACAGAAAGCCTGCAGCATAGCACCACGTGGCTATTTGGCCGCATGGAGCATTATCCCATGAACTAATCGCCAGCTGGGAGAACCAAGCTCAACCTATTGAGATGGACCCTTTCTGAACCCTAAAGGGGTGTCCTATCGACAAAAATGCTGGGTCTCATTGTCCTCACCATCCCGGTAGCACAGGAACAACAGGACCCTAGGTCTTCGTTCCAAGCTTCCGACGTACCTCGTTTAGCTACTACAGCGCATTTAATAGACGTTTAAGCCTTGTTCCGCACCTGTAGTACCTCGATTTGCAAGCTAGCCTGCACCAAAACAAGCCTCTGAGGCCTTTGGTAATGTGGGCTATGCTACTTCTCCCCAGGCTGACACTGCCCTGCGTCGACCTGAAGCGGCCCCAAGTATCCACGAAGTTGCTTGAGGTAGTATGCCTCCGCTGTCCGCAGCTCTATTATTACAGGAATCGAGCATCTTGCGCACTAGCTCGCATTCCCACCTAGAAACACGCGGGCATTCTGTCCCCAGCTGCCAGCTATGCAGTGCAAAAGGAACCAGTAAAACATCTCACAAATTCCCTTAGACATGCCTGAGGCTTCTATTCCTAGATGCCGGCTACGCAGGGCAAAAGAAAACAAAGTACTTTACTTGCTTCCACAGTCTTGACTAGCGCCCTTAGCTGCCATATTTTGTGTCCTCCACAATAAACTCACCCTGTGCAAGGCCCATAATCAAAAGCTCTGTGCCCCTGTCGCCTAGCCTCACAGGCGTGGACTCCCCATAAAGAGAAATGCGAATCAGCAAAAAATAAAGCAGCACATTGGCCCGGACCGATACATCTGCCTGTACGGCGCTGCAACATTAAGTTAATGGCTGCCCTAGTTTTTGCTGGTTTTTCTCGCAGTCGCGTAAAGAATGAACATAAAATTCGGTAGGCAACGCTTAGCGAAGAAAAGGCAGCCGCAATGAGTTTTAATGCTCGGGTGTCGCCGCATTCTAGGGATGTCTGAATTTTCATCCCCCATGTATGGATGGAAACATGTAGCAAATGATTCCCTCCATGCTCTCCAACAACTGTTTTCAACGGCGCCGTACGCCACCCCTCCGGCCACCTCGTCCTCGGCCTCTCCCTGCGACAAACGCAAAAGGATTGCTGCCTGCAGAACCCACAGCCAAACACAAAAATATTCAATCATCAATTACACCATGGATAGTGCAACTACAGGTGACAGCAACGAACGAGCCTTTGCCCACTACGCAGCCCAATGCGGCCCAAAACCCCAATTGCCCGAGAAGTCTAACAAGTCTCACCTCCATCAGCAACTTCAGTGAGCTTCGTAGGGCCAAACTCCGCTAATCCAAGTCCGAGGTTGCCACTGGCTGGCTGCTGCAGCTGCGGCTGCAACTGTGCCTGCTGAATGCGCTGCTGGTGCAGTTGGGCCTGCGGTACTTGAAACACTGGTCCCTGGACATCCATTTGCTGCTGATGGGGGGACTGCTGCTGGGCAACTGGATTGCGTGCACCAAATTGCTGCTGCACCTGCTGCTGCTGCTGCGAAATGCCCAAAGATGCTTGTGCGGCTGTCGAGGCACCGGGACCAGCTGCCGGCGCTCCCGCTGCTGCTCCTGCAAGAGGCCCATTCGCTCTACGGATGCGAAGTTTGGGTCGTGCATGCGACGCACTCAAATCCCCACTGGTAGGAATACTGGCTGGAGTCCCTTGAAGCTGCTGCGGCTGCAGTGCCTGCAGCTGCTGCGACTGTGGGGCTTGCTGTTGTAGCTGCTGCGACTGTGGCGCCTGCTGTTGTAGCTGCTGCGACTGTGGCGCCTGCTGTTGTACCTGCTGTGAATGTGGCGTCCGTTGCTGTAGCTGCTGTGACTGTGGCGGCTGCTGCTGCAGCTGCTGTCTCTGTGGTTGTTGTTGTTGCTGTTGCAGCGGCTGAGGCTCCGTTGGCTTTGCTGATCCAAACAGTGGCGTGCACGCCGCTGCAGGACGTGGAGCAACGGCTGCTGTACTCCCGGACACCAGCAGGGTACTTTGTTGGGGGTCCCCTGCTGAAGTAGGTATGGTAACAGGAGTGTTGGCAACTGCAGTACCCTGCGCAGCCTTCAACTGTACCTTTGCATGGCTTGTTGCTTCTTCAGCTGCTGCTACTTCCACTGCACGCGCCGCTGATGCCTCTGCAGCAGCGGCTGCTGCTGTCCTTTCCCTTGCTGCCACCTCTGCTGCTGCAGCAGCAGCCGCTGCTGCTTCCTCCGCTTCCTTTTGCTGTTGCATGCGCAATTCGCGCGTCTCTTCTGCAGTCAGAGCCGTGCCCAATACATCTAGAAGAGCCGCATCCGCTGCTGTTGCATGCGGCTGCAGCATGAGCAGCTGCCGCGTGCTGCACTCTCCTCTTTTTCGTTTTCTGTGACTGCTAAAATGTAGCTCATCCAACGTGGTTGCCTGTTCCACACGCTCTTGATTGCGATACAGCTGGGACCCACTACTGTCACTACTTTCTGTAGCGCTGGTTGTAGAAACGGGGGGAATAGCAATAGCGGCCTGCCCATAAGGCAATGAGCAAGTTGAAGCATTTCTTTCCACCGAGAATCGACGCCGTTTGGCACATTGCACAGATTCATCCTTGTCGCATTCTTGTTCCTGCTGTTGGTCTTGCTCTTGGCATGCATACTGTTGCTGTTTTGGGGCTTCTTGCTGATCCTGTTGCCGGCAGCTTGTTAAAAGGCTGTTCGACGGTGGTTCGTTCAGCAGCTGTGTCTCTTCGCGCACTGCAGGCACAGAGCGTGTAACAGAAAGCGGCTGCAAACATCCCGTTGCCGCTTCTCTCGACCCGGTGGTAACAGAAGCATCAGGAGCTACTGCTGTTGGTGCTGTGGAGGCAGCGTCTTCAGAGTAAGCCGGCACACACCCCATGGTAGGAGGTGCTACACGAGCGCGTGCAAGCAAAGGAGATAGCGGTGCCGGTGGGGGCACCAGCGGCATTCTAAGCTCTTCATCTGCAGCCTCTCGCTGCAATCCCTGCTGCGACCGATGCTGCTGCGAAGGCTGGGCCACATTCTGCGGCTGGTGCTGCTGCACCCAGAGAGGCATCCGCTTCTGCCCATCATGTACGATAGGTCTACGGATACACCGGCTCGGCACGGGGGGCCTTGCTATTCGGCTAGTCAGTGCGACCTTGTCTTTCGCCGCGGCTGACGCTACAGTCTTCGCAAGCAGATGCAAGCCAGCGGCAGCAGCCGCCTCTGGCTCCAACACCGGTATGTGTGAATGGTGATGCTTCGTCTGCTGCATAAAGGAGCTTCCACAATCAGCAGACATGTGGCGCCGTCTCAAGGGAAAGCGTCCCAAAAGCAGCCCGCATCCCTTCGTTGTGGGTAGGCTGCTTGTGCTCGTGCTCTGGTGTTGTGGGTCATCGACGCTGGTGCCCGGTAACAACGAAGTGGCAGTGACACCGCTTTTCCCAAACTTCGTGAAGGAACGCTGCTGCGTCAAGTGCTGTTGCTGCTCATCGGAAGAGTCAGTCTGCATCACGCCAGCAACCGGTAAGGGCGGCGTGGTGAACTCTCTGAGTGGGGAGGACAGGGGAGTGAAGAAGTCAAGATCGCTTTCTCCATCGCTTCCCCTTCTATCACTCCTCTCATCTTGCGCTACCTCGCGGGCAGCAATAGTTGCTGATGCAACTTGCATCGGCATGAGCGGACGGAATGGATTTAGGGGAACGACAGAGGAATTAGTATTGCGAGCTACGCCCGCAACAAATCCCCGAGTCCCATCCAGCGCAACTGCCGAAGAAGTAAGCGGGTCCCTGCAACTATTGTCGGTTACATGTCCTGGTAAACTGCTGCACCTAAGCCTCCAGGTAGCCGCTTTCGGCCCATCGCCTTCCCAATGCTGCCGCTGTTGAGGTCTGCGGCTGCCCTCAGTGCGTCCTGCCACCATCGCAGTACTCGCGTCCGTTTCCCTCGCTAGTGGGCTAGTTGTGAGAGTGCCACCCCACGCTCCATCATCCGTGCTACTGCATGGCATCTTCCAGCAGATCCCATGAAGGCTGCAGAACAGTATACCACGGTGGCCTAGAAGCCTCTAGGTGTTTAACGGCAGCATCCCCCTGTCCTTAGCGGCATGGGACGTGGCTGTGTCCACTGGACACAGAAACAAGCAGCAGTGCCGGTCCTACGTCATACAGATGAGTAATAGACGCATACCTATTTGCACTGGGTCACCACGGATTGAAGCTGGTGTAGAACTTCCTCCATAATGGCGTCCGATACACCACCACCTGGTTTATATATGCCGGCGCTGTTGATGTCAGGGGACAGCGTACTTTGTGTGACTCTACTCGAGCAGCAGGCGAGCTATCCGATAGGCACCGCCACTGTTAATACTGCCTGCGTTGTAAAGGGCGTTGCACGACTGGAACGCGAGTGCCACAGTACACACATCCGGGTCTAGAGTAACCCGATAAGACGAGAAGGCTTCCAAGTTGCCGCAAAATGAATCATTTGCAACAGGAGGACTTCAGCACCACCGTGCCAGCTAACATGACGGGAATCGACTTCGCCGCAACAGGAGAGGCGCCTCCGTCTACTGAAGCACGAGAAATGCAAAATTTACCCAGACTCGCTTTCTTGCATATTTTTCGGTATTATCCATACCAGAAATGGGCGGAAGGATGCTGCAGCTCGCGCACAGCTGCCATTACATTAACGGGTTGCAGCGGCGGCAACATGCTCATGCGCCTGCATGCGGCTGGCTGGCTACAGCATGCAACTTCTTCCAGGATTGGACAAAAAGAAGTTTCGTCTAATTCGAAGTTTTTTTCGTCGTCCAATTCAGGACAGATTTTGCCGGATTACTATCTTCGTTGTCGTAGCAGCATACCTGGTGACACCTAGGGAGAGATTCACTAGTAAATTTATGTTGTGTCTGACTATCCCATTCTGTTTGAAGGACTCGTGTGATCCTGGCTATGGAGGCGCTCTCAGGAATGCATGCTGCAGCGGCGACTGTGGCATCAGCTGGCTCGCTACGCAGTCTCTGTCCGCGAGCAAGGGAAAACGTCAACCTCACTTGCTCAATGCTGAGCCAGATTCTAGTCAACGTAGAATTAGATACTGCTGTGTAATATTGACACTTCGTACCGTCGCCTTCAAGAAGTCCTGTGATGCTCTGCAAGTGCAGATTTAAGTCATTTTGTGACGCTATGCAACCGTGGCTCTGCGGAACATGGCCCGTAAAATACCAACTACTAGACGGAGTACAGCGTGATTTCAGGGCATATAGTTTGCATTATAGCTATTTGATTGCTCGTCCATTGATAATTTTGTTTACAGTAGGTCAAAGGCCCACAGGCCGTTTATTGGAGGCATGGTAAGGGAACTACGACTGTATCCCCCTGAACTTCAAAATAATCTGTTCTGTGGGTCTCTTCTGGCCAGGCAGTCGCAGATTTAAAATTTATCCATGAAGTGCTGCCCAATGAACAATAACTGCTTTTTTGGAGCGCTGGGGGTTGCTCACGAGGTTGAGGGTGACAACCGCAGCATACCCCACCAATTGCTCCGTACTGCGTGTGTGTTGATTTAAGTGAGAGCAGTGCTCAGAATAGGTATTAAAGGTGAAATTGACATATTTTTCGGGAGATATTTTGCTTAAGCGAAAACTGTTAAGTGTTGCATTGAGGCTGGGTACCTATGTGGGGCAGGCTAAGTCAGACCGTCATCCCTAGATCTGGTCTCACCAGGGCTCCCTTGACTAAGCCAGCAACTACAGTTCCAAGCGCCAAATATAGTGTTGTCTCAAGTTTCGTCGAAGTCTTGCGTGTTGCCTTGCCATAACGGAAGTTACACTCCCAGGATTCTCAGTGAGGAAAGAGGCTGGTTGTAATTTTTAGCCCTCTGGAGTTCTTGGCATCAACAGGTGCAACAGAGGCAGCCTTCAATAGCCTGACGTACAGCCAAAATGCCATGCTCCTCGCCTGGGCGCTGGCCCATTCTGTTTTACCAGGGGACATCATGGGAAGGTAAGCAGCCTCTGATAAGGGCAAGAAGGGATACACGATGAACATTTCGCTGAATCGGTGACAGCCACTCACATGACGTGAAACGCCACACATCTGTGGGCTTCGCTTGACCGGGGAGTACAAGTGCTGCAAGAGGCACAACTTTTCTTCAGATGTCCTCTAAGCCTGTACACGAGACACCACCTCTTCGCCCATGAGCGTGTAACATTTCCGGCGTACTGCATCCATAAGAAGTCATTGAACCCTGCCCTTGTTCTCACCAACTGATTCTGCCATAACTGCCACGCCTCTATGTGAAGCGCCCACGAATGCTGCTAGTCCTAGTGGTAATTTCAGTGCATAAGATCGACCGTTAGACCCCTCGTTAGTTTTCCTCACCGTGAAGTGGCAGGCTGGCCAAGAAACACTTCTGTAGCTCAACTGCTGGCATCTTCACCCCTTGTGCAAGTATCTCCACGAACGTCGCCCCATGTTTGTGGTAGTCTCCTTCCCAGTAATTAACAACGATGTGGTTGAGAAGGTACTGGACGCGCTGCGTTAAAAATGTCCGGAGTGCTCTTAGTTCTAATAAAACCCGATATACCCAACTAGGATGCGTTTCGTCCAACCACTGCTTTCGCTCCAGTGTTGAATACAACGATTAATGAAGCTGCTTATTCTGTTTGCCATTAACAAACATATATGTACGCGGCCAGCCGTGGAGTCCGTTTGCCGATTCCAAGCCGCTTCCAAGGCTACGCGTACTACCTCTCTAAGTGAAGTGACGTGTGAAAGCTGTAATCTAGTTAGCCTTGCTCATGATAACACTTTCATGAAACTCTCAAGGCCACTGAATTTTACGGTGGATTGTGCTGGGCAAGCCTAGATACCAGATTCCAAAAAGTGTTGCGGCTCATAACTTCGCATCTTCTGAGGGCGGTCTGTGGGAGCTAAGGCTTTTTCATTTCAAGATAAATATCCTTGATACCCTCCGCTGAAACAGCAACTTTACCGAGAGGAATAATTGGCCACATTGGGTCTCCATGAACTACTCTGATTGGCGAGCAATGGCGCTTGAGAAGCTGAACTGAGCGAACGCGCGAATAGCGTGCGCGACAGCTTAAAAGGCAGACCTTTTAAATTAAACATGTTAGATTGTATGCGGAGAAGAAGCGTCTCCGGAAATAACGGTTAAACGTAGCCAGGGGTTCGTGGAAACGTGGAAGTAATCCCCAACTGAGAACAGATTAAGGCGGCGGCAATACACGTACATTCAGAATTATTTAAAAATAGACACAGAGACTGAAATTACCTTGCTGCAGTTGCAATGACACTGCGAGATGCTTCCGAGTGGAAGAGCCCTGACGGTGAGCATTTGCTACGTAGACCTGACATTGATCCAATAACACCGCCTGTGTGACTAAAGATGCAGTAGCTATTCGTCTTCGCCCATAAGCATACAAAGGCTGAAGTTTTCTGCCTGTAGCGCACCAACCTCAGCACTGTGATCGCGACCCACTACTGGCCTCATTTATGTCGTGCAATATGCTCACAACGCAATGGAACAACCACAACATGCATTTAGGAAAGCCTTTAGTTCTAAAACGAAAGTGAATTTATGCGTTACTACGCTGTATCTCTGGGCGTCCACAGTAAGCTTGTGGGTCGCTTCTGCAGGGCTGCAGAACGTGCCAGATGTAGCCACACTCACAACTCCACCTTTCCCTAAAATCCACTCAAAATTCTATATTTTTCTAGTAGTCTTGAATTTTGGTGGCCTATTAATGTCACCTCCGTTCCCAAAAGCAGTGCGCACTACCAAAACGAAAATTGCCAGGTGATCGAGAACTAGGACACGTCGGAATGTCCAGGGAGGATTTGAAACTATCATAAGCTCGTTACTGAAGTTACGGATAATACAGTTCTTCATTTGTCACTTTCCAGAGAGCCGTGAAACCATAAAATCAATCTAAACGCTACTGAGCTTCTGGCCCAAATTGCATCGCACATTCCCTTCCAAATGTGTAGTTGTGCAACAGTCACAAGACTCAAATACGTCGAATTAGACTGCTAATATTTAGAAATTTTTTACAAATATGGCCATGTAGACTGAAATGCTGCTCACGATGCGCGTCCGCCACTATGTCCCACTTGATGCAGCAGGGCTGCGCGGTAATTCCTTATATTTGTGTTAATCTAATGGGGTAATTATAGAATTGAATTTAAAGCACAAAATACAAGAAAAAAGTCAAATATTTTTAGGCTAGATTTCTGGAGACATCCTTGGGCTGAGGTGGGACGAAAGCGTCCCCCGCCTGTTCATCATGCTCTCCTCCCCCTGCCGTGCATCTTCCTCTAGCCACAGAAGTTTCTGCCCCGCCCTCAAAACTCGACTCTGGAAGGAGTCTTCTATTAAAATTTTTGACAAAAAAAGGATTATAATTTCCCCCCCACACTGAATTTATATCTGGTTCGAGAATAGCTTTCAACCAAGCTTCAAACGAGCTTCTTTGTGGGGCGCGCTGAGCACGCCCCACTAAGAGGCGTGGGAGCGGCTTCTTGTCCCACGCAAATTGTAGTAAGGGCAACCTCGTTGTTTTTGGCTTCCCGAATCCACGATTTTTGCGCATCCATGCCGCATTTAACCAGAATTCCTGTATATGCTGGCCACTTCGCTGATTATTAAACATCGGCCAGGCCATGCAGTATTAGTGTTGGAACGTTACATTGTCGGCTCACAGCCAAGATTACGCGGTGTGGGGCTTCTCACAGTTCTCGCGACACTTCCTGTAGCTACTGCAGTGGAACTTGAAGGCATTTGGCCTCGAATTCACGACTGAAGAGATCTGAAGAAAATCAAGTGTTCTTCAAAAACAGTGCAGCTCAGGGCGTGCATCCCTAGGCAGGTCTCATCTGACCGTTAAGACGTACTAGGTTTCTGCAGTGGCGCGACCCAAAATATTTTGGTATCTAGTCGTTCATTGTGTAAATAAATGCTTTTAATAAGCAGTTCGCCGTCCCGCATTATATTCCACGCATACTGAAGTGCTCAACACTGCGGGCGGGTCGTTCCGCAGAGCAAGACAGGAGACGTTAGGAAGGCCTGGAAAATCCCAGGCACCGCTGAATTCTTCAGTGCAACAGTGAATTTGTTTTATGCGTGGGACCAAAATTTGCATTTGGCCTCCACCCTCAATCATGATCATGTCTTGACTCTGAGCCACATACGTCGTCAGCTGAGTGGTTCAGAGGCATTTGCCCAGTTCAACTAAGTGAATGTAGAGGGCATCCACATCTTCCGAACTCAAGCCTATGTCCACGAAAATGGATTCGGCACCCTCAGCGGCTACAGGACCTGACTTTGACGGAGCTCGTGCTTCCTGGGAGCCCATCACGCATTCTGACGAGCACGTAATAACAACGGAGGAGCCAGCCGTCGCCGCACTATATCAAGATTCCGAAAAAACATACTATAGTTCCTCGAGAAGAGATCGGAGGGCAAGAAAAGTGGTGCTGACTGCGGTGTGGCTGATTCTGGCCCACCTGGTAGGAGTTTCTTTGCTGCTCTCCCACTGTCGAAGTGCCCGACGGAGTAAAGCTGGTGAGAGTTTGTTAGCACGACGCCTTGCAGGTGAAAATAGGGAGGGCGGGTCTTTTCCGCCGCTCAACCCATTCTTCGTGGAAGGGGAATGGACTTTGCTCGACGCTGAGGAGCTTGCTTGGCTCTGTGCTGAACTAGGAGAGCAATCCTACATCGGGCCCACCGAAACTGAGGAGGCTGCAGAATTATCTTCGTCAGCAGCGAGCAATTCTGCCGCTGCTGTATATACAGCCGCGCAAGGGGACTATGAAGAGCCGTCCACCAGTTCGTCTGCGCCTCTCCTAGGTGGAGACCCCATCCAGGAGAGCAGCAGCTATGTTTCGAGTCGCAAGCGAGCATATCCTACTTCCCAGTCTCACGGTGAACAATCAAGATCCTCGAAAATCCGTGTATATACGGATGAATCTGGAGACTCAGGTCTCTCCGGTGGTGTTTCCGAGATGGAGCCAGCGGCTGTTCAGCCTCTGGCTGGGCCTTCCTCTGTATATCGGTCTCATGAAATTTTTGCAGCGGTGTCAAATTCTGTAAGGCTCCAAGAAAGTGCAACACATCAGAGCACAGGGCAGCAAGGTATGCTTCCGGCGAAGCAGGTTGCACCGCCCAACTATCCAGATTCCATTTCTGTTGTGCCTGCACGTTGTACCTTTCCCGTTTCTCAGTCAGAAGGCTCCGCTGACCATGGCGCGAGCGACCAAGATCAATCGCCTGCCACGTTTCAAAGCCCAGCAGCATCGTTGGGACCTTTGCTCCCCAGTAATGGAGAGGCCTCGACATCAGCGAAAACGGAACAGCTTTTAAGCATGACACCCAATAAAGACGATTTCAGGAAGGTGCACCCGTTTGTTCGGCTGCCTGTTTTGGCGCCGGGTGTGAAACCTAGAAAAACTCTTGATATATCAGATCTCTCTATGGCCCGGAATTTACCTATTGTTACGCACCTCAAGGTTGTTCGGGATCTCTTTGCGCTCCCTGTTCTCGGCCTTGCAAATGCAAATATGCTTGTTACTGCAGTTGAAGAGTTGGCAATACGAGCGATCGCTCTTATGACGGTCTCAGTTTCGCAATTAAGGCCGTCTAATGCCGTGAGAGCCTTGGGACGTCGGTTTCTGGTTTTCAATGCGTTGCATTCAGCAATGAGGGTGTTGGGAAACAACACACAGCTCGAATATTTGTGGCGTGAAATGCTGCGAGTGGTGCCAACAGAATACAGTCATGAGGGTCCACGCACATTCTGTCCCAAGAGTGAATTTCAGTTTACTTTGGCGAAAGAATTAAGCAGCGCCATGGAATTGTACAAGACGGGCAAGGGACCTACGGAAGAACAAGAGCTAAAGATCAAGAGAGCGTTATTTTGCTCGGCCTATAGTCCCGGGTGCTTCCTTGAAACGCAGTGGGATCAATGGAGACTTGACGACGAGGAATTCCGAGGAATACCTTAGTGATTATCAAAGGACTCTCCTTCGGTTCAGGGGCTCGCCAAATGAAGCTTGCAAACTCGCAGCATGCTGCTGCCTTGCATGTGGTTTCATTTGTGGTAATCATTCCCGTGCATCTGCAGCCACTGCTTGCGATTTATTGAATTCGCCATGCAGTTTTGCTGGCACTTGCTGTAGTAGATGAAGAAGGCTGTTGTTGTGGCAATCGCCGTTTTTGAAGTTGTGGTATCTGTTGCGTTATCGGTGTAGCACGGAAGTGCCTTCGAAAAGTTGCTGTTGTGGTAAGTGTGATGCTGGTGATACGTAGAGCCGGGAACCACAGCAAACAACGCTTCGTGAACGATGGATTATTCACGAAAAGATTTTAAAAGTGACTCGTAAATGGGAAGCTTCGCCGCGCGAAGCGCGTGGAGAGTGTGGAAGGTGCACTACTGATAAATAGCTCGCGGCGTCTGGGGGAACTGCAGGTGAACCATCGCCCCAGCGAAGTATCTGAGCGTTAATCATGGGAAAATTCCTCTGTGCTGCCGCGCTTCATATTGACCATGCATATACTTTTCGATGGCTTCAGCTAACAGCGAGCCGTGAGGCGAGAGAAACCGCTGGATACTAGGCTGAACGACGCTAGTTCGACACCTGCAACGAGGAATTTAGATTTGTCTCTGGCCTAAATTGGATGTTTGATCGATTTCCTGAGAGCGTTGAGTATCAACGTTATTCATTTTGGAGATCTTTAGTAATAAAGTGGTTTAGCAGGAATTCCAAACTGGCCCCCCGGTCACCATAGGCCTTACTACTACTCCCGGGTTCTCTGCGTCCTGTGTCTGCAATACATGCTTGGACCGGAAATATAAAACAGCAACAATATGACTTTGTGACATGAAGTTGTATGTTTGATAGTAGTGTCACATAGCACTGGCGCCATGGCCAAATTAGACATGGCCCAACACGGCAGTGATTCGCTCCCTTCCGACGAAATTATATTAAGTTCATAAACCTAGTACGCTTTGAACCTACATTAATAACGAGATTACTCCTACATTAGTAGGGATGTTTCTAGTCCAAAGTTGATTTTTCGCAGTTTATTCACGAATTCACTAGCAAAGTTTCTGGACACAAACAATGAGAAAAACAATAAATCAAATACACATAATAGAGAAAGGACTGTTAAATTCTTTATTCTATACTAATGGTGATGTAGCTTTACTTTGAAAACAATATAAATGACAAAACAATTAATTTATTATATTTTTATTATATACTTATGTGGACCAACCGACGAATAATGTACGCAAGCTTCGCAGTGCGTCGTCAACTGAAGATAGCTTATTTTTTGTTGTAAACAGTACACCCACGGGCACACACATGCACAGGCACACACACATCCACACACACACACACACTGAGCATGACATTCACGATTATTATTTTGCTTAGTAACAAGCTTTTACAGCCTAAATGGTACAATTTGTGGTACTTGGGCTATTCAAGGGTGGGTTGGCCTCTATATGCTTCAAGACAAACCTGAGGCCTCCGCTTGCTGCACTAACGGCAGCGCGCAAGTGTCCCAAAAGCACTCCCCGTGCAGTGTTTTGCGCAGATCCACGGAATAAAGTTTTTGATGAGGCTTCTGAGGTGTGCTGTTAAGACTGGTCTTGTGCTCATGTTCCGGTCTAGTGCACCTTCGGTGTAAGCTCAACTGGACCAGCGCTGCAGATGTCGAATAACTGGAAGGATTAGCAGCTGACGTAAAATGCCCTACGTAATAGTCTGGAAGGCATCAGAAAAAATAGTCTGAATAATAAGTCTAGCCAGTACTGCTCGCATTCCTTGTAGCAACGTACAACAACTTGTGTTCTTACGTTCCTATAGTAAGAAATCACCCCCACTATAGCTGCACAAACGTAATATCCCTAGCGGGATACCAGTGAGTACTCTTAGGAAGTTGCTGGCTGTAGAGCTGCTGCTGTTTTTGCAGGAAACGCATGCAGCGTTTCCTGGTGAAGACAAGAGGAAAAACGCAGGAAAATGCCGGATGCTGACAGACCAACAGAACGGAGGCAGCGGCGTTTGCTAAAGATCAGCCAAAGCCTAACGTCAGTATGAGCTGTGGAGTTGGCACAAGAGCCTACAACGGCGCATCCTGTCAGAAAAAAAACATCGACAAATTCTTCCTTAGGGCATGAAAGTCTCTTGAATGCAAAGCGCTATGGTGGGTACCTGCGCATGTAGGAGAATGAACTCAAGACGATCATTAGGAGCAACGTGTGAACAGTCGTGCCTCATCAAAGCTCAACTGTATCTCCGTCTCCCTGTCCCTATGTTCTTATTCCGTCTAAGGATGTACCAATGTCTAAGATTACGCTTCCAGGAAGCAACAGCCTCAAATATAATACACTTACATCAGAATGTTACTTTATGCAAATGGGCAAATAATGAAAAGACAGCAGATGCTTTCCGCTGCTTTGCCTTTAGGCTGCTATCTCTGTTTCGGGGGGATTGCATGCGGAGAACAAGGAACTGTCAACGACCCCAGTAGTTCAGGAGATATATAAGCTGACATTTTTTGTCAGGCTTTCAAATATCTGTAACTCACTCAGATGCCCTCAAGCAAAATGTATGCACCTGCACCTGATATGGGGCCATAACTGCGCAAAGGATGATACTGCCTTGCAAATGCTAATCTCCATTACGAGTGAAATATCAAAAGTTGAAATTTGCATCTGTTTTTACTACCCCTCGCTTGCAGCAAAGGGGAATGACGGTGCAGCTGCTACGTGCACCCTGCGTGATTGCTCCGTTTTTGCCAGCTCTAAGGCACGAAACCACGTACAGCAGTGCTCTGGAGGTAGCCTGCTGCGCGGGAAAACCGCTTTAAGCTGGTCACACGTACTACTGACCAAAAGTCAACCAGTTCAGCCGCCATGTTGGACACACCATTCCTTACCAAGCTTAGAAATGGTTTCGGCAGGAGTCCTGCGAAGCGTCAATGGTCTCACAACACTCCTCGGGAAAGCGGTCGTAACTGCAGATGACCTTCACATGCATAGTCAGCACAATCAATACTTCGTGCGCAACGACTGGAACAGACAGGGTCAGTAGATGTGTGATTCAGCGCTTTACGTTGCTCAAAGCTGCTGCAGCGTCCACCGGAAGAAAGCCTGAAGATATGTACGAGCTGGCTTTTCGACAGTTACTTACAAGCCAAATTCGTGCTCTCGTCGCGCGAGCAGCTTCCCACTACATAAAAAGCATCTTGAAATGACAGTTCTACGCTAGCTACTTTCGTGGCATCTTGAAAATCTGCTTTCTGTCCCTTTGGATCCATGTGAGCCTAACCCTTCGTAGCTTAGCCGCACTCTGCGCATCAACTGAATCCTGTTTCACGATTTCCTGAAGAAAAGCTATGTCGTGATTTCGTGAAATGCGTAAATTGCAGTTCGGTTCACTGTATGTTCCAACTAACAACAAAAAATAGTCGTGCTCTAAACAGCAACCCAGTTACAGGTTTAACGCATGTGTGAGGCTGCTGGCAAAAGACACTCTATGGTTGGATACTTAGCAGTTGGAGAGCTCCCACTACCAGGAAGCTCTGCAATCACTGAAAACCGAGACAAGCACAAATTCGCACCAATACGCAGAATGCATGCATATTATGTGAGAACGCCTACATTTGTGGAGGCCGGCACGCGTGGATACACAGTTGAGGCAGGCAACGCAGAACTCCCGTACCACAATAGAGAACCGCCAAACCGCCCGGCTAATCATTTGGCTCAGTTTATCCAAGGCGCAATAACAAGAAGAAAACGTGCGTGCAGCCAAAATATAACAGAGCTTGCAGAGAGTGTCTGGTCTTTGAGCCAGTCTAATTCCTCTGCTCGGCTCCTGGTTGGAGGAAGAGTCACAATCTGTGGATTGCAGTTTTCCAGCCATAGGCCAAAAAACTGTAAATAAACAAGTGTTTCAACCACACATGATACCATGAAGAACCTGATTGAGACGTACCTGGTCAGCAGTATGCTGTGTTAATATTGTAGGGCTCACAGTATGATTGAGCTGCGCAGCTGGTTCTGGGTTTCGTCGGTGCCGGGTAGAAAAACATTTCTAGTGTGTTTGTGCCCCAGTTACTCTACACTAGGCGTCATTGCGACAAAAGCAAGTCGCTTAACGGTGATCATGAGGAGCTCTATATTGCGCGTCGTCCGCTCTCCACGGATCCCACGGGGAACTACGAAAACACCCTGGCGAGTAATCCGAGCAGAACAACTTTCGCTTGATCTCGATTATTTGTTCTTCTGAAGGTTCACTGCCTCTTTTGTACAAGCTGAGAGCCTCTTCTAGCTGCTTTGCCAAAAAGTACAAAAATTCGTTCTTGCCACGCATTATTTCTGGAGGATCCCGGGTATACGTCGTCGGCACGTAGCGGATAATTTTGTCCCACAAGCTTTCCAGTTGCGAATGGCTCCCTACTATCGCCAATACTGAATGAACTGTATTGAAAACTAGAAACCGACGTCCTAGGGCTCTTACAGCCATAGAAGGCCTCAGCATAGCAGCTGAGCTCCTCATTGTGGTAAGCGCGCGAACCGCCAGTTCTGCTGTAGTAAAAATGAGCAAATTTGCATCTGCAGCGTGCAGTACAGGGAGTGAAAGGATACTCCTGACGACTTTGAGACGATTAACAATGGGCTGATCTCTAAACAAACAAAACTTCATATGACTCACGAGCTGGCCTGGCTTAACCTTCGGACCTAGAGTGGGGAGCCGAATAAATGGGTGCTTGGTATTGGGATCTCTTGCCCCCGCTGGCACTAGAAGAGGCCTGGTTTCTGCGTTTGGTGTTGAGGTCCCTTCACCTGCATGGTTTGAAGCTTCTACTGAGGCTGGGGCCAAAGTTTTAGCCTCAGCGGTCACCGGATGCTCAGGCTGTGTATTATGCCCTAGTGCGCCTAAAGGCTGCTTAATAGGAAGGACATGTGTTGTAAGGGGTACTGCTGCAGGCGCCAGATTCAAGGAAGGCAGATCCACCAGTAGTGGCTGCGCCGCAGCTGGTCCTGGTTGTGAGAACCCGATATTTAAGAATTGAGGGCTTGATTCCCCCGCAAGCAAGACAAAGTGCGGGCCTGCTGTCGTGCAGCCTGCTAAAAGTGGCGATGAAGTATATGCCGCCCAGAGTGGCTGTACAGCCTCTGCCGGCGTCTGCAAATATTGAACATGACCTGCAGGAAATGACACTCCAGGAGGACAACTTTCATCAACACCCATTTCCCTGCTCTCTAGCCGCTGTTCATCAGACCCAGAGCCAGAATATGTTAGGTTTAACCCAGAAACATCTATACCGAGCATAAAGGGCGCCGGTCCACTTAGAACAGGGGCGTGCAGATTGGTCGACACTTGCATGCTGCCTTCCCCCAGAATCCCTTCTTTAGGCATGGTACTGTTCTCGGTAGACGATGCATTCGTCTCCTTGTCGACTGTGTGGCTTTCTGGGGAGCTCCTCGTTTGTAGGTCAACCCATCTCGCTTTTTGAGTTTCTCCTTCTGTGACGCAAGCAGAATTTGCCTCTGGCCCTTCAGCATCTGCAAAAGAAGGTGGCGAGGAAGAAGGCTGAGCGACGGATTGGAAAACAATTGTTTCCATTTGCGAACGGGGATCATGAGATGCTGGAGCTGACCCTGCAGAAAGACCACTTCCATATTCAAGTATTTCTCCGCTCTCCAGTTGCTCCACACCTATTTCAGGGCTAGGGTAGGCTGGATTCCAAGCGTAATTATCCAGATCACGCATAGACGGTGCCTGGTTGCCTACAAAAGGTGAGTACAGATTAGTCGAGACTTGCACGCTGCCTGCCTGCAAGTTCTCTTCTTCTGATTTGGAAGTGCTGCCAGCCATCAACGGTGATGTCTTATTCGCACCGTCGGTTGCGCGCGCTGTTGGTGGGGCCCAGCCTCCGACTTCAGAACAAAGCCATGCCAGTTCCTCTGGCCCAAGAGAAGTCAAATCACCTTCCACGTAAAACGGGTTCTGCGAGCGCCGAAATCTCCCATGGCTACCGTGATCTGCAAGGAGACGTATTGCCGCGCCCTCATTCACTGTGTTCCATTGTGTTTTCTGGCAGTGCGAAAGCAACACAGAAAAGCCTACAAGGTAAGCGAGTATCAGCCATACTGAGACGCGGGAGGCTTTGGTTTCCTTCTTGTGCGGCCTTGCAGAAACGCCACGTGCATCTTTCGAGCTAAGCGCGGTCTCGTCAACACAATGTTGCTTTTCTGCGTGAGCGCGTCCATCAGAAGGCTCGCATGGGCTATCGTTTAGATATAGCTCGGGGTCTACCCTAGATGCCATATCCATCTTTGTGAACATGGTTTGGGGCCCAGCAGAAAGAAGCTTCCTCTGCATACGCTTGGCTTAACGAAATTTGCGGCTTAGGATCATGCATCTCTGAGCATCGTGTGTAAATTGCGAAGGCGTCAACCTGAGGAGATGAGGAATGGGAAGCTGATACGAAATCGACGAACGTTCACAGAATGCTTTTCACGCATTCAAAAGCTCAATATTTTGAACTGTTTTAGCTAATGATTGCACTTGCTATCCGCGTAGCCTTTTCGGATTTGCGTCACGGTGGCCCGTCACAGATCCTCTGCAATGGCATCCACCGCTACCGTTGCATCAACTCATCTCAGCCGTTTAGCTTATCTCTGATCATGGAGGAAGTGTGTTATATTTCTGTTTTATCTTGTGCGACAAGAACAGATTTTGCTATTTCATGTTGAAGGCTCTCGCGGACCGTGTCTCCACTTCATGACGTGGCCCCATCCATGATTCTAGATCACTGCACAGGTTCTGCTGTCTGCGATCCGGAAATTCCATGCAGATCCAAGACCATCTTGTCATTAGGTAACGTGATACACTCAAACAAATTATTTTTTAAACGTATTCGGCTGCTGGTCTCTTCGTTTGGGAACGACAGTTTGTAGCAACCGCGGCCATTTGGGACATTGAAAGGAATAGAAGGCTAGGACCACTGTCAAAGCACTTTGTATCACTACCCTACCTGTATAGCAGAAAAGGACCTGCCAGATGCAGTTCTGGACCACCATTTACCTTAATCAATTTCTAGTGTACTGCCGCCGCTAGAAAAATTCGAGTGGTTCAGGCTGTTTAAATGGCACGGGCGTTGCGCGTGTATGTTTTCTTTTGCAGCTGTCTTCCATAGAACTTTTGTCCTTTTCTTCTGCGTAGGGTATGAATTTCGGTAGTGCGGACTTCAATATCTAAAGATATTGCACTTTTCAGAGGGAACTGTGGGTGTCTGGCGGGACATTTATTGGGCTTCTGCAGGCCACCGTATGCGGTGCCTGCAACTACTACAGCCTTTTCGGGGGCATGATCGACCAAGACGCAGCTGGTATATGGAGTTCCGTAGATTTGTTGGTCGAAGTTCCTGACCAGCTTATTTGTGACCTCTCCCTCCACATTCACTTGGCTTCATGGGCTCCCCGCCACTAGTTAACTTCCTTTAGGGAGCAATATTTTGGTTCCTGTCAGTGTATAGTTGGCTGGCAGCTTTGCTCTGCCTTCAGATGATCTAAGTTATGCTCTATGCACTCAAACCACTTGCTTTGCTGCTGCTCCAGTTACAGCCTACTGTAGTGCGCAGGCACTACAATAGCGCTCGCAGCTAGCCAGCCACGGTAGCTAGCTGGTGGCCTAAAAGAGGTCAGCAAGCCTGAAAGAGGTCAGGACGCAGAATGAGCGCAGAAACTTCTTAATAGTAACGAAGTAAGGCAATTTTTCACCAGGATAGCAGGTGTAAACGAGACGTGTCTGTGAATACCTAAGATTGGAGCTGGCGGTCAAGGAAGCAAAAACTATGATTGGGGACTTTCTAAGAAAGTTCTATTTAAAGCTCGAAAGATAAGGCTTATTGATTATTTGGTATTGCTTTATGAGATATGAGTCGAATGCAGAGGATCTGTCAGACGGACGCCCTAGTCGTGGGCCAGATAGTAACGTAGTAGCAGCAGAGAACGTTTTGTGCTACAGCCTCAGTCTCTGTAGTGCACAGGCACTACAATAGGGCTTGCTGGTGACCTATAGAAGGTAGCTAGCTAGCGACCTACAAGGGGTCGCAACACTGGAGGAGGACAGGACCCTCTTACTAGGATCAAAGTAAGGCAATTTGTCTGCGAATTAACGTGCATACACTAGAGGTGCCTGAAAATGCGTGGAGACTGTGGCTGGCGATAGCGCCGGCACCAGTGCAGGCTTCCTCCAGGAGGCGAGCACCCCGAGTGGGGCGAATTGAACAACAACAGATTTTGGAAGCTTAAGAATAACTGCATTTCGGTATATATAGGCTACTGTTTCAGGGAAACGGGCCAACGTTAGGTGCTGATCATAGGCCCTGCTCGAGGGGCAGGTAGCAGCGTAATCGCAGCAGTAGGCGCTGTGCACTACATTTGAGGGCTGTTCCGGGAATGAAATCTCTGTTCTTTCCTGACTTGGAAGTAGAAATACTATGTTTTAATAACTCACGTCTAGAAATCTTCGCTCGGGAAGGGATGCATGTCCGCAACGGACGCGTTATCGGCCCCACACCGCAGGAGACTTCTACAATGTCAGTGAACAAAATGACGAGCGGGACGCCTGCCCATCATCGCCATGCGACTCCAAAGCCCACCGCGGCAGAGCGGCCGCATGGGCATAAGGAGGCGCCCCCGCAGGTGATACCTATGACCAATGTTATGCCAGGAGACAGTCCCTTCGTCACGTGGGACGGATTCCAGTCCGCTATGAGTGTGATAAGGACTGTTATAGGGGGGACCGTGGAATCCGGCGCAATGAATCCCATACTACCAGAAAACGGCAGCACTATGCAGGCCTTTCTGCTGCGCATCGAGCGCCGGTACACCCAGATGGGATTGGAACCGCGCGAGTGGGGAAATGCACTTATTGACCCCCTTGTGGGCCCGACTCGAACGTATCTACGGAGAACTATCGACCTAAGCGACTGGGCGACAGTACAGCGCAGGCTTTTGGAGCGATTTGACAAAACAATGTCGCAGAGTCAATTGTTAACGGAGTTGGCTAAAGTACGGTGGAATGGTAACCCGAAGGAATACACGGACCGGTTTGCGGCTGTAGCGGAGCGTGGTTTGGGTGCTGCCCCCGACGAACTCGCTGACCTCCATCTTCTTATAACCAATAACGGACAGGTGAAATATCAGACGTGGGAACAAGCGGCGACAGCCGCAGCACGGCTCTACGAGCCCAGGCAGAGTGTGCTGGAACTCCGAGAAAGGACCAGTCGAGCCATTAGGGCTGCTATTCAAGCTAATGGACCCCGTCGGTGCCAGAAAATTGAAAATCGACCTGGGGAAACCCACGCGAACTGCTTTGAGTGTCAGGGTCGCGGACATCCGGCACGTGTCTGCCCCAGCAAAGGGGAACGTACCAAACGTCCGGAGGAAATATGCAAGAAGTGTGGCGGTGTGGAAGACTATGCTCGGGACTGTCCTACGTATGAACGAGGCCGGCCCGAGCCGGCGGACAAGAGCAGTGGGGAGCCCACCCGTCCTAGCACTGAGAAGACGGAATAATTAAACGTGAGGGCCTAGGCGTGGTTGGAGACGAGCGTTCTAGGCCGCGTAGCCATGGCAAAGGGATGATGTGTGCGGTAGCGACAGGCCCTAATGCCATTCCAGTCTCCCTTGAGTGGGGAAACCAACTCCTCAGCACTGTGGAAAGAACTAACACAAGCGATGGGCACGCGGAAGGGACTCAGCCGCTTTCGGAAACGCGGTGGGAGTCTGGGTCGGCGTCGATCCTGAGTGAAGAGGCTCCAGAAGCGACGACGGATAGCAGCAGAAAGTCTGCAGAGGCAACAGAAGACGGCTATAGGTCAGACGCAACAGTGATTATGCTACACTGGTGGAGGGAGACTTGCACGAAAGAGTCTTACGACAAAGGGGGAGCGTTGTGTTGTATGGGTGCGACGGCAGTACTTCGCGTTGAGCTCGCAGGGAGTCCTTGTGAGGAACTCTTGGACACTGGGGCTTCGAGAAGTTTGATCAGTCCTAAAGCAGTCGAACGAGTGCACCTGAAGGTGCGGAGACTTCCAGAAGAGCATAGGTTCACCGTAGCTACATGTGAACAATTACGCATTGATCGGGTTGTGACAAGATTGACGATGCGGTGCGGACATGCACATTTTTCCGGGGACATTTTAGTGGGACCCGTCCCCTATGACTTAGTCTTGGGTTTGGATTGGCTGACGGAACACAAGGTGGCCTGGTATTTTCAGTCTGACAAACTCCGAGCCTATGTGAATGGCCAGTGGTGCGAGTTACCGGTCGTTCAGACTGGAGGAGCAAAGCTGCAGGGTGACAGTCCCACCGTAGTCCACCCAAGGACCCCAGAAGAGCAAGCATATGAGGTATTGGCCAAACAAGTGGCGGGTATGTCAGCCGAAGAGGCAACTATATTCCTACGCCCGCCTCCGAGGAGGTATAAGTCCCACACGAAGACTAAGGCGAAGGCTCGGATAACGTCGCTCGTTCGTCAGGCGGCGGCTGACACAAAGAATCTCAGGGCTCCATTGCACGGTTTGCATCTCATACTGGCTTTGCCCGAAGCCGGTTCGGCGGTGCCCCTAGGGCTCTCGGATGAATGGCAAGGCGCGCTTTGTTGCGCGTTAATTGGGAATCAACCCACGTCCTCCGGCTGGCGTAGTCCTTTGGCCTCAACCGCCTCGGCGGCAGCGGAGAGTGACGAGGAGTCTCCCTGGCCTATGGCAGGACTCGAGCACACTCTGTTCGGCGAGTGGATAAATTCGACAGGGGCGCAGGATATTCCTTGTCAGATTGCCCAGGTGTTGCAGGAGTATCGAGCGGTTTTTCCAGATAACTTACCTAAGGGATTACCGCCAAAGCCTTCATGATCACCATATTCTACTTGTGCCTGGAAAACTGCCAGCGAAATCTGCAATATACCGTATGACCCCAGATCAGCTCACATTCCACAAACAGGAGATAGCTAAATTATCGGACAGTGGTTGGATCGGACCGATCTATTCGCCTGTTTGCTCTCCTACGATCATGGTAGACAAACGTGATGATGGCTCCGGGGAGCGGAAGATGCGTATGGTTGTCAATTACCACGCTCTAAATGCCCTTACGATAGCCCCTGATTTTCCACAACCTCCCATTCAAACCATTCTAGAGATGCTGGGAGGCGCCAAGTATTTTTCCACTTTGGATCTTGAAGCAGGATTCCACCAAATACGTATGGCCAAGGAAGACCGGTGGATGACGGCTTTCTGGTCCGTTCTCGGACTATTCGAGTGCCGAGTAATGCCCTTC